AAAATTCTTTTGAAGTCAGTATTCATTTCCTGGGTAAAATCTGAAATTCTTTAGGAGTGGATGAGACCTAGGCTTGGGACGCATTTTTCGCTAGTAGCTCTGAAGGTGAACCGGAAGGTTCTGCAAAATGTTAGCAACTGAACTGAAGAGAAACAACATCTCATGAAACTTTATTGTGGAATTTAGTACTGATATTTCATGGTGTCATGGCTTGGCTGTCTTGGGTAAATAGTTTTAAGTTACAGAAGAACTTTCAAGAAAAAAATCAAGATATCACGGCAAGAGTCTTGTCTAGCCTTTTGGCTGGAGAGTGTCAGTTAGCTGACGTTGATAACGACATGACAATACTCCTGGTTCTAGGGAAGAATGATTTTTATTTTTATTTCATGTTTTTCACTCAACTTGAGAGGAATCTGTGTCATCTGAGAAGTTCTTAGGATAATTTTAGTCTTTTTAAGCTGGATATATCCATGCAAGGATATGAGTGGAACAGTTTTGGACAAATTTGAACTGCATCTGCTAACTGCTGAGAGAGAGATAGGAAGAAAAGATGCTGACACATAGGCTCTGGTGGATTTAGCTGAAGCAGTTTTTGTAATGGTACCAATGCTAGCTGTCAATCTTGCTCTTCTGCTGCAGGTGACTTTCCTCATTGCACGCATGGCAGAAAGCATTATTTAAGCTAAAATGGACTGTGAACATGGTTTTGAGATTATGTGCAGGTTACCTGCCTCTGTTGGATGGGAAGGCACTCTCTTCATTTTAGAGCTGTAGCAGATTGTTTTATTTGAGCCCTACGTCCTTTTCAAAAGAGCTGTCGTGTTTGTCTCTTAGTAAATTACATTTTGCTGGCAGAGGAGTGGAAACCTTTTGTCAGTCAGTCTAGGTGGTATAACTAGAATTCTTTTGGCTTTCAATGCAGAAAGCAGAACCATAATTTCACAATGTCATGCAGTTTAGTTGATTCCTGTTGGGAGGTGGATCATGCCGCATTTCACCAGCTGTAGTATTCAGGTGGACCCTTGTGCCATTTTATATAAAATCATTTGTAACTGCAAATGTGTAGCAATAGCCCTTAAATACTTTTAAAACTTGTGACATACATGTGTATTTTAAAGAATACATGAGGTATTTTGCTTTCCCCAGAGTATACATCATGCTTTTGTAATTTCTAGCTTACTTTTTTAGGTAACATTATCCATGTTAAGTACTGTGTTCCAAAGTTTGCTTGGTCTGGAGGTAGAGCTGAGCTCCTTGTGAGATGTCACACATCACTGAGAAAGAGAACAGAATTGTTCTGACTTACCACTGCAGTAAAATCCATTTGTACACTCAAATACTGTTAGTTACGGTATAGTCTGAAACTTGGGTAAAATCATTCTGTAATTTTAGAAGTTTCTGAATAATGTTGAAGCCTTTCTGAATGCTGAAGTCTGTTGGCTAACTTCAGGAGCTGTTGAAGTGCTTCATATATTGGATGGTATTTGCTGCACTTTTTTCTTTTTTTCTTTTTTTTTTTTTTTCTTCTGTGAGCAAGCCAGAGCATGAGGTTTCCATCCATCCAAAGTGATTGGGACTGGAGAAGGATATAGAATCATAGAATGAATCAAGCATGTTGAGGTCCCTCTGGATGGCATCCCGTCCTTCTGCTGTGTCATCTGCAAACTTGCTGAGGGTGCACTTGATCTCGCTAAGTCATTGATGAAAGTGTTAAACAGCACCGGTCCCAGTATGGACCCCTGAGGGACACTGCTTGTCACTGCCATCCACTTGGTCATCGAGCCATTGACCACTGCCCTCTAGCTGTGACCTTCCAACCAATTACTTACTTACTACTTCCACTGCCTGTGCAGTTCCCTCTTGCCCTTTACTTTGACCAGCAGGTCTCAACTCAGCCATGATGGTCTCTTCCCATCCTTGCCTGACTTCTTACACCTGGGGACTGAGAGCTCCTGCACTCTATGGAAAAGTGTCCTTAAAGATCTGCCAGCTCTCTTCTGCCCCCCTGTCTTTGAGGACCAGGGCATTCTACTGACTAACTCCTTGAAGAGCTGGAATTTGGCTTTCCTAAAATTTAGGGCCCTGAGTGTACTCCTTGCCTTCCCCATGTCACTCAGGAGTGTGAACTCCACCAATGTGTGATCACTGCAGTCCAGGCTGCCTTCAATCTTGACATCACCGATGAGCATGCTTGTGTTGGTGACCATACCAACGTGCATTCTATCCTATCATATGCATGATAGGAGCATCAAAATCCCATTGGTAGTGAAAGTTTGGGGAGAAGTGAAAGTTCTGTGGTAGCTCCTAGAGTAGGAAGAAGCCAGAGTTGTAGTGAGGTAAGAAAAGCAAAATTAAAAAGTACATCTTGAGAGCAGTTTTAATATTTAGAACACAATTTAAGCTGGTCTGAGCCACCACTGTGGTGGTCCAGTTCGGCTCTGCTCTCTGTGGCATCCAGTCATCTTTAAGTTCATTACTGTACAAGACAGTTTGTCAACTGCTAATTTGTAGAAGTTCCTTCGAATTTCATGCCTGCAGATCCCTTCTCCTGTATTTTTTTATATGGTCTAAGGATGTCTATCATAAAATGGTGAGAGCTGAAACTTACTGAACCAGATCTAAGTGCTGCTGCAGCTGTGTTGTTCGTCCTGGTTCGCCTGTGGTTGTTTTCTGCCTCTTGTATTATGCCAGTCTGCCTATAATGGGGAAAACGGTGTGTTTATGACTTTTATGGGGGTAGATTTTAGTTTTCTTTGTGTTTAACTCAAGGAATCACCTTACTAGGTGGGTTCATACATCCGTGCATGCCATCTCAAAGAAGATGGAAGGAGTGCAGACAGCAGTGGAATAGGGTCAGTGTTACATTAGTGCTAACTTGATTGGTTTATCCAATTGAGAAGTGGTGCCCTTGGTTTGTTTCCTGTGATTCAAAAAAGTAGCGAAGAGTAGTAGGGACTTAGGAGACTGTGTCTTCAACTTTACTCCCCCTAGCTTCAGGGTTTGACAGTGTCCTGCAGTTCATTTCCAAGATTACCATGGAAAAATATAAAGGTAGTAACTTGTGGTGGTGTTTGTGTCTGTTGCCATTGTAGTGCAGTTATGTGAGTCATTAATGCCAGGGTTGCTGCTGCCTTTCGTCTGAGTGTTAAACAAGACACAGACCTTAGATCATTCTCTGATTGTATATATTTTATGTGTGTGTTTTGGACTTGTGTTTTCTTGTGGGTGTTGGTTTTGTTTCTTTTTTTTGCAGCAAGACTTTTCAAATGTGAAGTTTGCAAAGGTAAACTTTGCTTACTCAGTCCTTATTTCCCCATCTTCAGACATTGTCTTGCCAGTTTGTCTCTGCATGGTCTCTAATGTGTTTTAAATTTTTTTTTTTTTAGAACATACTTAACTACTTACATACTTAACAAATTCATGGTAGATTTTCGCATGTTATGTATTTCTAATGAACAGAGCTTTTGGAGGAATTTCCAAAAGTAGTGTAGTGCCATAACATGGCAGCGAAGGTTGGAAGAATGCTTTGTAGGTGTGCGCCCTTTAGGTACTTTTGTGTTTCAGCGCAAATGTAAATACTGGTTTCATGTTTAAAATTTGTCACCTTTGTTTTGGATTTCAGGCTTTCTCACATTTAGTAGTTCAAAAATCTTTCTTAAAATGCAAATTTGTCACAATCGGAATCCTGTGAGGATAGATCTGTCTGAAATTGCAGCGATTTGGTTTATAGATAACATTGCAATCAAAACAATTATATTATACAAAGGCAGTATGATATACTATTCTGCTTCCAATTCACAGCATTATTTAGAACTCTTCACCTAAAATTATCATTTAATGAAGTGTTCCAGCAGCTCTACATTTCTCTAAAATTGTCGTATAGGATACTATAAGCATGCTGTATTAGTGCAAGCGGTACCTTAATCATTGTGCTGAATGCTGTATAAAACACTACTGATGGAGTCTGCCTCCTGAGATCCAGCAATTCTAGGTGATGTACAAAGACAAAATGCCTGTGGAGGACGGTGCCTACGTTTGGGCTCGGCAGTGTGCCAGCAGGTCTGCTCTGAAGTTGGGGGCAGTGAGTAGAGTTTTGGTGGGCCGAATCAGTGCATAGTATGTGACTACTTTGAAAGTAATTTCACTTGCAAACTTCTTTTAGCACGGGTGAGCAAGATAGACAGTATGTAGGGTTTAGGTTGGCTTGTGTAAAGTCTGGAAAATGAATATATGAAGTAATTTTGCCTAAAGGACCAAGCGAGATGATCCAGAGAGCATGCTGTAAAACTCTGATGTGGGAAGGAACAAGCTCATGAATCACCCAACTCTCTGCTTTCCAAATGAAATGCAGGATCTAGGTGTATGGGGAGAGAAGTACAGGGAGGAGTTAAAGACTGCAAGCGCTGTGATGAGTGAAGGTGAACATGGTAGCTGGCTTCACCTGAGCTGTGTCGGAAGGAAGTAGTGTCGCATGCTTTCAGCTTGCTGAGGCCGGTGCTGAGATCTTGTAAATAATACGGAATAATGTACATGAGAGCAAGAAGTCGGATATGCATTGTCTTAAGAATCATAATTTTTGTCATGATTTGTATTTTAGTATTTAGAAGGCTAAGCAAGCTAACTTAAAAAAACCCAACTCGATACTGATACTATATTTTCTGTTTCTATGTATCTGTCTTTCCTGAGTTGCATCATCCCTGTATTGAAATTTGTTTGATTTTTTTTAGTTGATGAATGTGTATCACATAAGTAGCCTGGTTCTTTGCAGATATGAACACTTTAAGCGTTGTTGGGTTTTGTAACTGTGAAGTTTTCCCTTTTGTATTTTTTCTCCTTTGTCTGATGTTACTTGCTTTGATGTAACAGCATTCTTTTCAGCTTGGCATTTACACAAAGGTTTCTGATGTGTTCTTGCCATTGTGTGTCATAGCTAGCTTTTAACATTTAATATCAAATTTAGCCTGACTTTTTTGTTGGTTTTGTTCTGGTTCTCTACAGTGGACAGGCCAAAATCCCAGCAAATCAGAACTTCTGGTACCATAAGGCGAACTTCTTCTTTGGACACAATAACAGGACCTTACCTCACAGGACAGTGGCCACGTGATCCGCACGTACACTACCCTTCATGTATGAAAGATAAATCTACTCAGGTAAAAAGCTGTAAAACAAGACAACAGAGATGTTTTGTGTAATGGATGTCTTCCTGATGATACTTTTATCGCCTGATCTGGAATCTTAGCTCAACTTAATTCTGAAGAAATGTGGGCTCACTTAATTTCCTTATAAATATAAAACTCTAAAAATAGGGTACTTTAGTGTTTTTTAATCAGTGTCAATTCGGTAACATGGTATGCGATGGATAATAATTGTATGCATTTAGAAAACAGTTGGTAAAAATAATTTTCTGTATGTGGGCAGATCTGTTGAGGCTAAATAAGCGTATTTCAGTCTCAGCCTTGTATCTGATTTATTTTACAGCAGCTATATGCAAAATTGTGCTGACTGTTGTTTAAAAAAAAGGTTCCATAATAGTAGTGGCTGACAAATTACAAATTTTACTGAATTGTGGCAATAAATCTGTGGGTCTCAATAGATGTGTGTGTGCAGGGGAGGAGAGTGAGAGAGGTTACTGTTAAGAAGAATTCATCAGTTTGTCACTGGAGGGCAAATCAAGAAGAGGAAGCTGGGAGTGAGCATGTAACCTGGTCTTCACATGTTCCCTCTGCTGCTTAGTAGCAACGCAAACAAAAATGCTCTGTGGAGGAGTTGTCTCCTGAAGCCAGACATCAGAATGAGAGCGTTGTCACCAGCTACAAAGGGAAGGCTACTGAGATTATTTATGGCCTGATGCCCTTGTGATACTCTTGGATCCTCCTCAGCGCTCTGTCCTTAGCGGAAACCTGTGGCAGGTAGGCTGCTGTGGCATACAGAGTGCTCCAGTGCTCTTTAGCTAGAAAGCAGAACATTGTTTCTTGCCTGATTCCCTCTCATGCTGAAGCTTGTTGCCCACAAAGATGATCACTATCAAACAGGTAAAAAACCACGTAATTCTAAAAAACCCCACATTGTTAGCAAAGGATTTTCAGTCTTGCTTTTTCGATAGAGTTATTAGGGTATGGAGTAAGTCATCTGAGTTTGTGTTCTAAACTAAATTGGGAACTAGAAAAACTGTCTATCTTGGGTTGTATTTTCAGCCTACAGGCCATGTAGGGATGGTGGTTAAATCAGTTTTCTGTCTCCTATACCATGATTCTGGCCCATTATTATCATGGGTGTCCTGCAAAGAAAAATGATACTTCTGTCATCCTAGTTTTTGCTTATAACTCTCTTGTGCCATTAAGAATTGTTTTTATTGGAAGCTTATGTTGTCAAAATGCACATGATGCCTTTACACCAAGGATTTTTCTGTCATAACTTCACTTCTAGGTGTGTAAGTTTTGGTTAGTTTCCACTGACTTGAAACATACTTGTCACCCATTCTGCCACCATTGCTTAGAGCAAACACAGCAGCTCTTCAGATTGATTCTGGGTTTTAGTCTTTTGTGTAATACTGAATTTCTCAGGACAGGTTAGAATGTGTAAATAATTTTCCACATCTTGTAAAAATCTACTCTAATGCAACTCAGGAAGTCCTCTGATGGGGAAAGGGTAAGTGTGGAATGCGTAGAAAAATAAAAAAGACCTGTCTGTATGATCCTATTTAATGAATTTGGGAATCTGATGATTAAAATTGTTCGACAACTTCTGGAAACTGTGGTGGGACACTAAGAAAATGCTGCCTTCATGTCCTGCTCATTCATTTTGAAACCATAATTTCCATACAGGAGATTTTCAGTAGCATGCTTTGTAGTTACTGTATTTCTTAACCCCTATCTCGTAAAACATGTATCCATATCCAACTTTGTAAATACCTTTGTGAATAGAAAATTTAGAATATTTAAACATTCACAAATAAATCTTTTCACTAGTTATAGAAAAGAGAAACAAACTTGTTCTATAAATACTTGCGCTCCAAGCATTTGGCAGTAAAATTGCTTTCCTAGTGAGCTCAAGTAAGTGTTTAGGTTATTTGACCTGTTGGCTGCCACCCTTTGCCTCATTCAGAAACAAAGCTCAGGGATGGGGAGCAAAATAAAGAAGTTTTACCTTTTCAGCATAATCATATCTAACAGAGGGGAAAGGCTGTGCGGCTGTCATTACAAGGTGAAGTGTTATTTCAAAGGGATAAGGGCTGGGAAGTTTCATGGTTTGAATATGTGAGGATACCTTCTAACAAGGAATTGTATTAGCTGTCTTTTTATTCAAATTATGCAAAAATCAAGCATTTAGCAGTGTTTGAGTTGACAAACATGTGTCTTGACTACTCAGCACTATATGAATATGTAAAATGTAACCAGCACAGTGATTGGCACAGTGAATTCCAGAGTTTTTTAAATAAAATATTCACTAGGGAGGCTTGTAGGTGAATTTGATCATAAAATATTGACTTGAGTTATGTTTTGGTTTGTTGGGTTTTTGTTGTTTGAGCTCTGTGTAGTTTGAAGTATATCTAACTTCAAGAACTAAAGATGAGTTCTAAGTTAATGATAGGATGCATGCATGGCAAATTTAGTTAAATTAAATTAAAACCTTGCTCTTTGCCTGAGTACGAGCATGAGTACTTCCACTGCTTGATGCTTGTTGGCTAAGTAACAGTTTAGCTCATGGGAGTTCGTATAGTTTACAGCAGCTAAAAATAATAACACTTGGTAGTTTAGCAGAGTGGAAGATGGTAACAAACAAATAAAAACAAGAGAATGAAAATCAATAAAATAATTTACTCTCCAATGATACATGCTCATACAAAAAAAAAATTATCTCGTTTTACTTCTAAACTCATGAACAATACTGTCAGTACAACTTACATTGTAGGTGGAATAATTATTTCTCTTTCAAAGGTACTTTTTGTTCCTAATTAAACATTAATTTAAAATCCAAATTTTGTGCAGTTTCGTGAAGGTGGTGGTTGTGGCTGTTCCAAGTTTCTTAGAACTCTTCTATTTAAAAAGTCAGATGCTGGTCTTCACAGCGATCAGATGAACATTTAATGAGTCTCATTCCAAGACCTTGTTTCCTACTTAAGTTCTTTGAGCCTGTATGGTGCTTGTGAATAAAAGATTTCTTCTTTCTCTAAAACTAAACCAGGATTTTAGAAAAAGAATTCAATAGTATCTTATTTAATTAGAGGAAACAGAATTTTGTTTGTTTGTTTTAGTTTCTGTTGCACCTTGGAGAATAGTAACTGTAGTTCATGTTTCTCTGTCTCTTTTACCCACCTCAAATGTTTTGACTGAAAACACTGAAGAGAAGTGAGGTTGATAGGTTTGCTTTTGGAAAAATATAGTATGACACTAAGCATTGTGATATTTACACAGTTCCAGATTTCTAAGAATTCTCCATGTGCTTATGCTTGTGTGTGTATGTGTGCCTGTGCATGCAACTGGCTGATCTTTAAGGAGCAGCATGTTTTTGATAATAAGAGGTACACCATTTTATTTAGTAGTGTTTTGAGTATTTCAGAAATGCAGGGAAACTTACGATTGTAGGAAGGTGTTACACATATTGGTATACTTTGTGATCGCCTTCCCAAGTTCCTCCGCTGTCCTGCTTCCCTCTCCTTTGCAGTAAAACTGGAACTTTTTGTTAAGGCCATTTAAAACTCAGTATAGCTTCCTTCCCTCCCCATTTTTTTTCATTTCTGTTGAGAGCACTGAGGGAGCAATTTTGTATGCTTCTCATTCATGCTGTTCGTGTATTTCCTCCTTCCTAGTGTGAAGAATAATTCAATGTTGAATCAGTTATACCTAACCTCAAAATCTTCAGAGGCATTTGGATAATTGTCATAGTTTAATACAATTATTTTGCAGTAGCTAAATAATTTAAAAGATTTTTGTAAAATTAAAAAGGAGAGATTAGGGATAAACATATGGTGTTGATGTCATAACAAAGATATTGCTAGTTAAAGTTCATCTATGTAATCTTTCTCGATCTAGATACAAAGAAAAGAACAAATGACCAAGTGAGGTAGGATTCAGTGATTTTCTGCACAAGCACCCCCCCAATTGACTTCTTAAACTGGTTTCCAGTATGCCTGGATATGCCTTTTTCATTGTGTATGGTAATTATGTATTACACAAACGAAAATGAAGAAAGTTTGCAAAATGCCTTTCAGAATTTTTACTTCTCTCTAATCTGAAGAATAGTGCAGAGTTATTAAACTGGGTTGCTTGGCTAAAATAGGTTTTTGTTCTTCTCGTGTGTGAGTCAATGCTTTAATGCAGTTACCTGTCATTAGTCACCTGAGCAATGTTTTGTTCTCTTTTCGGTAGAAATTCTGTTGCTTAAAAATTAACATTATAAACCAGGAGGCTCAATTACATAAAGCTTTTTCATAGGTGTATTAGTTATCATTGCTTTCATGGGATATTTTAGTGATGTACTTTGGGGGGAATGGACACGGAGGAAGAGATACGTGTCATATAACTGAATTTATCATTCGAACTTCTCTTAACCTGTCTGATGTTTAAGAGGAGTCGTTGCCTGTAGTCAAATTAACTTCTGACTCTTTAGGCAGTTTCTTTCTGTAAAATTTCTAGAGGGCCTTTGAATGCTTTAGAAACATCTGAAGACTCATCAGACTTTGTTCTAGTGCTGCTGTTGCATTTCTTTTGATTGCAGAAGTTCTTCAGAAATGTTATTGCTTCCCCTGTAAAACCTAGACTTGTGTTCTTAATCTTTGCACCCATCCCCCAGTGGAGTTAATCTGGAATGCAGGCTAGATATAGTAATTAGAGCGAAGGGCTGGCAATAAAATGTGAGATATTTAGACTAATTCAGTCTTATTTTAGGTTTAGGTAGGTTGGTACTCCATGCAGTCATTCTGATGTAAATGAAGTGGAAAGAATGTAGGTGTATATCCCTGACATAGGTGGAAAAGCAAGGCAGAATTTCCAAATGCGTTGGAAGAAATGCTATCTCTACAAGGCTGGGTGAGTTAGAACAATGGTAATTGTGATTTACATTAAGACTGAAGAGAGCAACCAGATGTGGTGTTCTCAGCATGTCCTATCCCATGCGCATGCTTTAAGCATTGTCAGCTGAAACTGGGACCGCGAGCCTTCACATTTCGAAGTGTCAGCAGTCCCCCTCTTGAAGCTGCTGCATGTGTTAATGTTTTCAAAGTTCTCCTCCTGAAATGTTTTAAATCTTAGTTTCTGAATGTAGACTTGCAGGAATAATCCTTCAGTGTCATGAAGTTCAGATGATCCCTAGGTGATGCTGTAAATGTGCTTCAGCTCTGGAATATTATCAGTTTCACAGAGTGTCTATGACCTCTCTTACTGTGTTTCTGACTTGAGGTGCAGCAACTTTGGTTTTGTTTATTGTGATTCATAAATTTTTCTTCAAATACAGTTTTGAGTTACTCTTTTACTTTCATTATTCTTTGTAATATGTTTAAGACATGGAGGTATACTTGCAGCTTCAAATGAAGGCTTCCGTGAATAAGCCTGTTTTGTAGAAGTTGTAAGTAAAGATGGGAAAACATTTTCTATGAAATGTGGCGTATCAAGGGCGCTGTACACCCCCATCTTATTTGTGATGTAAATTACAACATTCAAGTGAGATAGGAGGTGCTTATATGTGAGCTAAACTTAGAAAAGCAGAATTTCTCTTTGAATGTACAAAGCTTGGGGTTCTTTGTTTTTGTGTTGGGTCTTTTGGGTTTTTTAAGAAAGCTTTTGCCTGAATATAAGGGGTTTGGATTACAAGTCCAAAACTTATCTTCATAGAATGTGGGTTACAATATATTATAAGCAGCAATTTCTAGGGTTTGAAGAAGACTGGCCTGCTATTATATTCTAGTAACTACTTACTTTGTTTTATTTTTTGGCCTCTTTTTTTTTATTTCCCATCTGAATATAAATAGCCCATTAATATAACATTGCCTGTCTTCAGTACTGTGCTAGGAACATCAGACAGTATTTGTAGTCTAATGCTGCCAATAAAATTGAGGGGCATAAATAGTCTGCCCCCTTTATACTGATACTTGCATGTATATTTTGAAAGGCTGTGACTTGACTCAGTTTACCAGAGATTGAAAGCAACTGTGTAATCCTTGTCTCAAGGGAGATGGTATTTGAGTGGAACAGAGTGTCAAAGCATATTTGAGAAAGTATAAAATTTAGTATTAAGTGAATGAATGGTTTATATTTGTTATTTTTGATTTCTGATTAAATCTACTGCAGTATAAGGATTCCCACCTCTCTCTCCTAAGTCACCAGTGTTGTTGATGAAGTACTTCAGGGTGTTGCTATTAGTTTGTTTTTATTCTTGTTATGTGGATCAGTATCTGTGCTTGTGAAAAAATACAGGCAAGCTTTTGCTTTCTACGTAATAGGGGTTTTGTGTTGTTTTTTAACAGTTCACTTCTTTTTGAAAAACTCACTTTGGCTTTTTTGGTAGTCGATGTCTTTTCTATTCTGTTTATTAAGCTGTAGTTGAAAGGCTGTGAGCTTGTAGTGATTCCTGGTTACACCCTCCTGCGCTACAGGAAAATATTTAAGCACCTGAATTGCCTGTTTCTACTTCATCCTGGAGTTGTTCCCCAAACTATGGAGCTGTGGTATATTCAGAATACAATCTTTGGAAGATAGGTTTTCAAATAATTCCCTTTGCATTGATTTTTTTTCTGGTTTTGTATGAGAGTATGGTTCCAACTGAACTTGGAACATAGTAAAATACTTTAAGAAAAGACTGATTTAAATTGGAAAGTAAATTGTAATAGGTTGTGAAAGCCCATGATTTTGGAAAAGGAGCAAATTTTCCCCTTGTTTTCTCTAGTTCTGTAGAAATCTGGAAGCTGCTTCAGTGTTGAAAAAAAAAAAAATTAAAAGCAATACAGTGTCTTTCGCACAAATTTCAGGGAGGTGGCAAACACCCAGCCGGCAAGAACAAGTAGTAACTTCGAACATGGCTCCGCTAAAACGGAGAGCAAGCGAGCGGTCAGACAGGTAGTGTGCGTGTGGCAGAGGCTGCGCTTTGGGTGGTGAGAGCCGTGGGTTGCCTGGCCGAGGGGCTCCCATCTTCCCCTCATAGTTCTAAATAGCTGTTTTAACTCTTCATTCTTGTCAATTATTTTTCTTTTTTTTTTTTTCATAACCAAATTATATTCTGGCTTCTTCCCCAGACCCATGCAGAGAGCCATATAATAAATACACAGAACCCAAACTTTTATGAACACTTGCTTTTTCTTTCCTGGGAACATGCAGCAAAAACTTAGTTACTGATTTTTTCCATTTTGCTTGGTAATCGCCCACACAGCTTGCTGGGCCTTCAGTGGAAGTATTCCTGATGGTGTAAAAATAACAGACAAAAAACTGCACCAAACCCATGGAAAGTGCAGGCCTGGCAGAAAGCACAAGTGGGATATATTGGCCTGTGCACACAAAGTGACTTAGCACATTAAATATTAGCACTTAGGAGTTAGGTGCCGGGCTGTTGGCCAGATAACACGATGGAAGTGCGGTGATTATCAACAAGGGCAAGTGCGGGGTCCTGCACTTGGGGAGGAACAACCCCATGCACCAGTACAGGCCTGGGGCGGACCTGCTGGAGAGCAGCTCTGCGGAGAGGGACTGGGAGTGCTGGTGGATGACAGGTTGACCATAAGCCAGCAGTGTGCCCTGGTTGTCAAGAAGGCCAATGGTATCCTGGGGTGCATTAAGAAGACTGTGGCCAGCAGGTCAAGGGAGGTTCTTCTCCCCCTGTCCTCTGCCCTAGTGAGACCCCATCTGGAGTGCTGTGTCCAGTCTGGGCTCCCCACTTCAAGAAAGATGAGGCACTACTGGAGAGACTCCAGTGGAGGGCTACGAGGATGGTAAGGGCACTGGAGCATCTCTCCTACGAGGAAAGGCTGAGGGAGCTGGGCTTGTTCAGCCTGGAGAAGAGAAGGCTGAGAGGGGACCTTGTAAATGCTTATAAATATCTGAAGGGTGGAAGTCAAGAGGATGGGGTCAGACTCTCTTCAGTGGTGTCCAGTGACAGGACAAGGGGCAACGGGCATAAACTGAAGCACAGTAAGTTCCATCTGAACATGAGGAAGAACTTCTTCCCTCTGAGGGTGACAGAGCACTGGAACAGGTTTGCCAGAGAGGTTGTGGATTCTTCTTCTCTGGAGATACTCAAAACCTGCCTGGACGAGGAACTGTGCGGCCTGCTGTAGGTGACCCTGCTTTGGCATGGGCGTTGGACTAGATGATCTCCAGAGGTCCCTTCTAACATCTAACATTCTGTGATTATAAAGGTATAGCCCATGCTCTGAAATGCCAGTTCAGTGCTTAATGGTACTGGGTACCTGCATGCTTGGCCCTGGAGGGCTGTTGCAGGGCAGCGAGGGTGAGGAGTTGCAGACGTGTTGGTGGTGTTCTCCAAGGCCCTGCCCGGCCTCCTTCCTCAGCAGAACAGTGTCCGCTACGTGTGTGGGTACTACAGAAGTTTCTAGACCCTAGAGAGTAAGGAAGAGTAAGGGAGCCTGCGGAGGAACAGGGTTCCCATGCATGAGAAGGATGTCCCACGGGGAGAGGGATCCCAGATCCTACCTGTCCTGGGGGGCTGAGCTCCTGTCTCCCTTGGAGAAGTATCGGCAGTTGTCCCCTCCCTGAAAAACCTTGCTACCAAATTCTCATTTTCAGTGGTATAGCTTTATTTATTGCAGCCTTATTGTGAGAGATTCAGCTAATACTAGTAGGAATTGTTGAAGAAATTTTTTTTTTTTCCTTTTCATGGGTTTATATATGTGCCTATAGCCATGAGTGTTACGTGGTTCATACCCCAAACTCTCCCTGGATTTTAGATGTCCCCGTTGCTCCTCTGACAGCCCTTGACTCTCTTGTTCAGAAATGCTGGTGGATACCCTCAGTTTTCATAATAGACTTGTAGTGAATAAGCACAGGAGTTGGGAGATCTGGCTTCCAGACCCTTCTCAATCTTTGAGATTTAACTTTATAGCTCCTACATCTAAGAACAGTCCCCAAACTTCTGGGCTTGCAGACAAGGCTGGAAAAGGTCTGCTTTTCGCTGTTTTGCTCATGTAGGTCAGTGCTAAAAATAATAAAAGGTGTCTCAGACTTTGTATCAAGTCCGAGTTAGCAAGAAGGAATTGATTATATGTCCCAGTGATTAAAGAAGGCAGGTGGGAGAAGCAAATCCTGGTTTTTGGTCTCCGAGTTTTTCTGTAATTTTTTTGGTCTTGTGGTTCTCTAATCTGTCCACGGAGTGAAAACTAGAAATGGATGCCAAAGCACAGATGGGAGTAGCCAGGTAAGGGTTTTTGTGATTGTCAGGCCTCTGATTCCTTCTTCAGTAATGTACATTCTCCTCATTCTTTGTAAATGCAAGATTACAAAGTGTTAGTTTTCTATATTGTTTCTTTATGTATTGAGACTATTACTGCTGCATATCAGATGAAATTCATTCTTCATGTACAATGCCTGAACTCTGACACTGCAAAAAGAGTAAAGCAATAATTTGTGTCAAAGGTTTCTCCTACCTGGACAATTCAGTAAAGTAGTAGTACTTTTTTTCTTCCCCTCCAGACACCTAGCTGTTGGGCTGAAGAAGGAGCAGAAAAGAGATCACATCAGCGCTCAGCATCGTGGGGAAGTGCTGATCAACTAAAAGAGGTGAGAAGTTTTGCATAGTGGAGCCTTTCAAGTTTTGATATGCCCAAGATATTTCTTTAATCCCTATCTGGAGTCCAGGAAACTGCACCCTTTCCCTCCCTTCTGTTGCTTTTGAAACGGGTTTTGCCTCCAACGTAAGAGTTGTTTCAAGAGTGGTTGTTGTTTTATGCCTGTTGCATTTCCTCCCTGCCTACTGCACAGCATTGGCTGTGGAGGAGTGGCCAGAGTGAGTTCTCAGGAACCAGCTTGTTGTTGCATACTAATTTTTCAGAGTTACCTTAGCTAGCTTTCTGTTCTGTAACGCTGCTCTCCTGAAAGAGGCAAAGCGTAAGTTGGTGTGTTAGCATATTGTTGTTTAGAAATTTCGTTTAAGGGTGGAGATACGATGTCACTTTTACAAATGAAAAAGGAGGGTAAGTGTTGACATAGTAATGGTGTGGTTACTTAAAATGCTCTTTAATCGTATGTATTTTGCTGTGGACTACAGTTGCAACTAGAAAGAACCAACCAAAAGTGAAGTGGATGTGCATCATGAGAAATTAGATACAGTAAAATGGTCTCCAGCTCAGTTGAAATGACCACTTCAGTTTTTGTCCCAGTGAACTCCATTCAGTCCAGAGATCCTGTATCTACCTCTGTTCAGTACCTGGTAACTGGCCTGCTGTTGGAAGGGTGCAGTCTCTCTTCACGAGCTGCACCTTTCTTCTTAAGAAATGAATCTTGCAGCGTGTTCTCATGGGGTGGGACTTTTCCCTGATACTCTGAGCTTTTTGCATCTTCTCTCCTGGTGGCTCCCTGTTTAATAATAGCACATTAAAAAATGAGACGAAAAGTATAGGTTGTCTGAGGAGATGATGTTGCTGGCAATATATAGTTCTCTTTTGGATAGCCATTGATAGGAAGAAGAGTTGTCAAACGGAGTGATGCAAGTTTAATTACTTGAATTATTTTAAAAGGACATTTGACAGATACAGAATAAGCTTGCATTGCAGTGGTGGCAATAGCCTCATTTTCAAAGATGAGGACTTGGGCCAAGGAAAGGTCAGTCCAGGGAGGCTTGCCTATTCCCATCTGTTATAAAACCCCTCATAGCTGGTTTATAGTGGTACATAGGCCTCCAGTTTCTTGGGTGACTTCACCTGCAGATTAAGTGCCCAGAAATTAGTGCAGGAGCTTTGTGTCTGAAAAGTTTTGGCTAAAACATTACCTAGCAGCACAAAGGAATTGTAGCAGGGGCAGGAATGAATAGCATCTTTATTTCCAGGATAACACTTGCTTTTACAGAGAGACCATGCTTCATCTTCTGGCCGTTCCCTGTCACGTTCTGCAATGAGCAGATTTTCTCCACCACAGGGCCGTCACTGTTAATGATAGTGAAACCTTCAGCATGTAAGCAACTCTGTTGTTTGAGAACAGTGATCCATTGTGCTAGGTTGCCATCTTCTTTATGGACTAACCACAAGAGAAGGACAACAAATGTGGCCGATGAATTTCATACTTCCTTTCTGATAGAGCACAGCAATGGAAGAAACGGAGCGTGTGGGAGTTGTTTCTATCCAAATTTTGCAATGGTTGTTCACCCCAAAACCTGCCCTTGTCTTCTCCAACTTACAGTTCTTTCCCTTCCTCTGTTTTCCTTTCTCAAGCTTCTCAAACCAGTTTTATTGTGTCTTCTAGTTCCCTGGGTTCGTAGACCCAGTGTCATTCTGAGTGCATTATCCAGCCAGTTCTCATCTGTCTTCCATCACTTGAGCTCTTGCTCAGTTACCTTCCAGCTTTTGTCTGTTCTGTCTCTCCATCCTTTGGCTTTTATTTTATCCCTTTCTTTTTCCTTTCCCTCACCTGTGAGTCCTGGTTCCAGCTTCTCTGTCTGGCTACTCAGTGCTTGTGTGGTGGGTGTTAAGAGTTTGTTTGATACTGGCAGTATCTGTACACTCAGTTTTTTTGTGCCGTGGTAATCTGCAGTCTCTGGAAGGACAAATTCTCTGGGGCAGTCCTGTTCAAGCTGTAAAGCGTAGCAGAGACAGAATTACTAGCAAATGGAGCTGCCAGTTCCAAACAGCTTTCTTGAACATGTGCAAACTGAAATTTTTGCTAAAGCTTCACCAAATGTAAAGATTTATCCAAGAGAACAGAGGGACACATTCCCAGCATAAAGGAGCCCTAGACAAACGTTTGGATTTTTATTCCAAAGCATTGGACAGCAGAGCTTCCCAGGTAATAAGCTACGATTATGTGTTTTAGCACACAAAATGGTAAAATTATTTCCACCCACCTTTTCATTTTAATCTCGTTTGTAAAACAACTGTAATTGCACTGGAATCTCTAATGGGAAGGGGATAGGAGAGCTGAATGTTGCATGGTAGACTTCAGAGAAAATTTGACAAAACTATAGGCAGCTGAAAGCAAGAGCTTGAATAATGGAAACAAGTGTCACCTCTCCTGGGCAACTGTATTTGTTATGAGTAACATAGGTAACAGTAGTTCTGCTTAGCTTTTGAGTTGTTTCCCGTAGTGTTTGACAGTAAACAAGTAGGTAGCTGTTTTCAGTTCCCTTGGCTTAGCAGTTTGGATTCATATTTTCTTGTTCCAACAGTTAATGGAATGATTTCTAGCATGTTTTTTTTATTATGTTGATACTGTAAACTAGCCAAATACTTGTATGCATAGTTTTAATTGTTTTTGATAAAAGAAGATTGAATGTACTTTAAGTTTAAAAAAATTGTTTTGCCTCGGTTAGTTTGAGAGCTGTTACAATTAAAGGCATGTATTTAACACAACTGGGAGCTCTTTTTAAAAGATTTATGTTTAAAGTACCTAAAAATGAGTGTGTAGAAGTAAGACCTCAAGCAAGCAAATGAAGTCTGTATTACCACATTAAAAAAAAAAAAAATCACTTTGGCTAGCTGAAAATTGTTTTGCCCTTGAATTGAAATAGGTGAGTGTCACGACTGACTCTGTCTAGCAGTGAAATAGGCAATGCTTGCTTGCTTGTAGTGGATCTGTTAAAAAGTTTACAACTCCCCAGCTCTCAATATGAACTTTATAATGATAGAGTGTACCTTTTTTATCACCTCCTAACAAGATACACTTTTTTAACTTTTTGTTTTATTCTGAAGGGATCTACTGCCTATTTTTACGAAGTCTTGAATCTAACTTGTTGTAGGATAATGCCAGCCTGCTTTAACATTATTTTAATAGATACATGTCTTGACTGGGAGATGAAGATTGCTATCAGAGGCTTTGAACTGGACACAGACAAAGTAGTGGCTTGAACCACTGGTATTTTCTTCCCTTTTGACCGGAATAGTTAGTTGTAGAGGGACAATTTCAGTTACAGCTTACCCTGAACTTGAACATATCAGAACAGGATTTAGAACAAATAGTTTTCAGTTTGTGTAGGTTTTTAAAGATGTGAGTATTTCAGACAGCTGATTTTTCACTTCTCTTAAGCACATCTGTATGCTGTGTCTGTTACACTGACACCAGCAACCCTCCCTGGGAAGATCCCTTTTGCTCCAACGGAGTACTTGAAAAGGACTTTGGAATAAAAGAGAATCGAATATGAGAGCTTGCACTTTTTATGTGCTTTCATGTACCAGTTGAAAGATTGTATTCAAAGGTTTAGGCTGAATTTCTAATACTTGTTTTCCTCTTTGACCTACTGGTTAACTTGTTTATTAACAAATGGTTCATGAATGAGTGAGATCTTGCTCTCATTAATAAGGAGCTTGGCTTGTTCAGCAATAGGAAGTTACTATGTTGTGCAGCCTGATTTGTAAAAATACGACCTACTAGCTGGTAAATATTAATGAGCGTTCGGACAGGAGTGGTGGGATGTGACATGTTCCTTCATACTAATAGTCTGCATCTAGGTGTCTTCAAATGAAAAATTATCGGGTTACTCAGATTATTCCAGTGTTGTAAAGAACCGACCTATTTGCTTATTTCTGAGGTTTGTGCCATTACTTACGTTAGACTGCATGCATATTACAAGTGGTATAGACAAGATTTACATGTATTTCAAGTACACTTCTAGCTGTCAAAATATTCAGGGAGCACAAATTATATTTATAGGGTTTTTGCCTAATTTCCTGTTTGTTTAATAATCTTTGATGGTTGTCTTGTAGTTGGCTGAATGACAGTAAACCATCAAGGCTGAACTGCAGGTTTGTGTCCTGAATGACCTGATGTAGGTTTATTACTGTTATGATGCACTGATCTTTGTGGGGTTTTGTTTGTTTTTTTTTCATTTTTTTATTAAATAACTTTTTTAAAAAGTATGTCAAGAGAAGAGTCTTTTTGATACATCAACAATATTGTAGGGAACAGTCGCTGGAAGAGGAAAGGCTGGAAACTTTGTAATTTTTTTTTTTGAAATGTACACAGATGTGTGCTTTGTGCTCCCCTTCCACCTCATACAGGCACATGAGAGTACGTGCCAAATGTGGATTAAAAAATATAATTTGAAATTTACTACCATATATGTTTACAGCTTATAAAGTAGCAAAATAGCTTTAAATAATCGTATCTGAACATTGGAAGAGGGGTTCGAATTGCATTTATTCCTTGAGGAATTCCTTGATCTTTTTCTCTTTTTATTTTTATTTTTTTTATTTTTATTTTCAGCAGTATCATCTAAGAAAATGCCTGTATTGTATGGTGAGAACCTCCTGCCTGTTTTGGAGCTAGGTAGGCAGGAAGAGCATCTGAATTGGTACAGTAAAATCGTTGTCACATTTTGTGAACCTTAAGTGCACATACGTGCAAAGCTAAGGCTTCAATGTCTTCAACAATTGGATGCTTTAAAGGGTACACAGTAGATCTTTTTGTGGTGACTTATGTGTGTGCCTTAATATGGTTGTGTCACCTTCATGCTCAGTACTTGGGCATGTGAGGGAAATGGTATCCCAAACCCCTTCTGTTCTTCTTAGCTGCCCTGTTAAAATGGAGTGTTCGGTTACTGCGCTTTTTTTTCCCCAGCATAGCACATTATTCCTTTTCTGCCTCATCTTCCTGATTGCAATATGTGTATTGCTGCCCGGAATGGAGTTCAGTGTGTATTTACACCAGTGTAATGGCTGGATCTTCAAGAACATGTTTTCCTGGTACCAATCACTTGGCACCATTTTCTTTGCACAGCAAATTGCCTAGCTTATATTAGTTGCATCAGTCGAGTGCCCAAGACACAGGATCTGCTGCTGCTTTGAGATTTTTGGTAAAACATATGCCATCCAGATATAATGTTTCAGACTTCTTCTGCACTGCACATATCTGCTTTCCTAGGATTAGTGTATGTACCTCATACCTGTCTGCAGCTCACTTTGGTTATGTTTGATGCTCTGATTGTGCTTCTCCACTGCTTAGAAAGAAGGTGAAAATAAACTTCTAGGAAGCTAGCACGGCTACCTCTTCATGTTTGTGGCTTTATTTGAGTTTCAGATGGAAAATAATTGGCAATAAAGATATAATCTTGTAGAAGAAAAGCTATCGGGATTTCAAGATTAGGTTTAGCAAGTGGTAGATTCATTGTGGACTCCCCTTGGTGTAGGGCAACATCAAATAGTTTGGAGGATTCTTCTGTCCGTATGCTCTGTGCCACTGCTTGCTTAGTGTGGCTGCACTGAAGCTGGGTTGTCTGTGCTGCAAGCCTCTGTCTCCCATGTCTGGAGGACGAGTAAGAAATGGCAGATGCCTTTTCGTATGCTCATCCTTACTTTCTCATTTTTTTGTCTGATGGTAACTACCACATCATGGAAAGCTAGGGTCATTCAAATTCAGGGCTAAGGACAGATGATCTGGGAAGGTATATCTATTTCTTCACTGCCTTTTGTATTTGGCTTAAGTGATCATATTGGCTGCAGATACACAGTTAGATTCTTCAACAAGTTTTCTCCCCAGTGACCCGAGCAGTCTTTTCTTTCTGTTACTGTCCAGAACCTACTGACTGCCAAAATATACATACTCTTGAGGTGGCTGAGAACCTCAGGTTGCAGGGGTCCGTGATTCCTTTCAGAATATCAGAGCTCCAAGGTTTTGGTCAGGCTAGGGACAGACATCAAGCCTGTCAACGCTCTCCCATTTAATGCTTTTGCTGTCCAGAATTTACAGTGAGAGGCTATGCTCTCAAAGATTTGCAGGCTACTTGCAACAGAAATCATTCAGCCAGATCGCTGAGGTGGAACTGTATAGATCGTTTTTATAGCATGCTCCCAAGGAAAGCTCAGAAAGTCAGATTTCATTTAAATAAAAAAATAGGGTATTTAGGAGGAAGCGCACAGCATCAAGAAGAGGCAGCAGAAATTAGTTATATACAACATTCTCCGTGCTTTCTGAGTATTCTTGTAGCCAGCCATCTCAGTCCACAGCTGTTTTCTGATCTGGGTATTGTTTTTTTCTTCTGTTTTTAAGTTTTTGAAGGGGAAGATGAAGATTATTTCCCTGTTCTCCCCATTCTCCAACATTCTGATGTAAGACACAAATCTTTGTAGATGTATGTATACTTACCAGACTGGTTACCCACTTGCCTTTTTTGTCTCTCTGTGGAGCTAAATTTCCTAATTATCATTACTCCTACAGGGAGAATGGGGAAGTTCTGGAGAAACTTTTTTTTTTTGTAGAGATGAAGTATATCTTCAGAGTCCTTCACAGTTTCTTCCAACATGGTGCCTGAGTTGCACCTTTCATCAAGAGATTAGTCTCCCAGTTCTCTACATCTAGCTCGTCTGTGTTAGAAAGTCAGTAGTATTAGGGCTTTGTCTTTCTTGATATATTCTAAACACAGACCCTTTTGGAAGCCTGAACAGGTTGTCTGTTGTTGAAAGATCTATGTATTCAGCCATTTCTGAATACCAGTTCTCTGAATATGGGTAATGAGCTGTGGCAAGACTTGATGTGAAGCCTTACAGGTGGAGCCTTCTCTTGTGACTGATACCAGAAACATCACAAAGTCCACAGCCTGGAGCAAAGCTCCATCCAAACCTCTTCACCAAGCACTGTCATCTCTCCCACTGTGATGTGAAGTGAGTCTCTACCACAGAGCTGCTTTGCAGGAGCACTACTGATGTATTTAACTACTTGGAGTTAACCACAGAGTGCGTGTACTTGTAAACTGTCGCTCAGAAAGAGAGGTTACTTTCCAGCTGATGAAGTTCTCTGAAATACAGATTCTGTGTGCTTTCACTTCTCCTTACTTGCCCTTCAGTTTTTTAAAAATTGTATCGCTAGCTGAGTTTAAAATGAAATGGGGCCATGCATGCTTTGCCTTATATGCCAGTGCACTGAGCATGATGAATAGTGGGATTTGAACCCAAAGGAAGAAATTATCCCATCTTAAGGAGGTGTCTGTACCTGTTGTGTGAATTTGCACATAGTCTAAACTTCTGAGACAATGCTTACAGAGGTAAATACTCTCTTTCATCTGGAAATTATCCAGGAGGAATAAACAAGTGGAGGAATCCCCATATGCAATTTGTTGGTTTCTGTTAAGGAGCAGGTCAAAAGGATAATGGCTTTAGTTGCATTTGACCTTTAAAATATGTAACTTTTGATTAGACATCTTTGCTGCAGACAGCAGAAAAGATTATTCTGTCTGCCTGAAGGAGTCTGTGATAATTTAGCCTGCAGGGAAATGCTATTAAATATATTAAATAAGTTCTCTAAGATGAACAATGCATATTGATTGCCAGTTATTTGTGATGGCTTTTTGCTTTTATGATGAATTATCATTGGAAAACTTTGTTTCGGTTTAAGATCAAATAAATTAAACTGTAGGCTTTATAGTCCCCAGTTTAAACCAGCTGTAGGCCAGAAATTGCTACAAATTGTCATTATGACTACTTTTGTTTGCATCAGTTATTACAGTGGTTGCTTGTAAATGAGGAAGTTTAGTACTTAAACTAAGCCTGCTGTTGTATTCAGGTTGGTGAATAGGGCAGATACTTTGAAGAAAGTATCTAGTAAGCAGAAAGAAGCTTTAATGCTCATGCTTCATAGAATCATAGAAAGTTTTGGGTCGGAAGGGACCCCTAGAGGTCATATAGTCCAACCCCCCCCGCAGCGAGCAGGGACACCGCTAGCTAGATCAGGTTGCTCAGAGCCCTGTCCAACCTGGTCTTGAATGTTTCCAGGGATGGGGCCTCCACTACCTCTCTGGGCAATCCGTTCCAGCGTTTCACAACCCTCATTGTAAAGAATTTCTTCCTTAAGGGAAGGCAATCCCATATGCTTGTAAAATTCTCCAAAGCGGACTTAAAAGATCTGTGATTCACTTTATACGGGAAGATTTGAGTAGTTATCGACTTGAAAACTCATTATCACTTCACCTGAACTTCTTTCCAGCAGATTGCCAAACTGAGGCAGCAGCTTCAGCGCAGTAAGCAGAGCAGTCGTCACAGCAAAGAGAAAGAACGTCAGTCACCTCTCCATGGCAACCATATAGCAATCAGTCAGACTCAGGTAAGTAGATAGTTGCTTATATCAACAGCCTCCTATCTTATCAGGGTTGGGTGAATAGCCTGCTGTTGCTTCCCATCTTCCTTCTGTTTGTTTTCTTATGTGATACACTGAAATGCTTAACAACCTGATACCATTGCGTCTTTGCTGAAATTTATCTGATAGTCGTCATATAACAAAAAAAAGAAGGGTTGTAGCAGGATAGCAACTAAAATATATTAAGATGCTGTAAAAATTCTGAGCATGGTCAGATAAGACTGTGTTTCCAGGAATACTTACTTGCTTCCGAGACTAATTTTTATGGTACACTTTCAGAAGTCTCTGCTTATCTGGAAGGTATTCGCTTATCAGTTTTGCAACCCAATTTCCTCTGAGCTGGTTTAAAAAAAAAAGTATAGAAAGTAAAGAAAAAGAAAGTATCAAGGGTAAGCAGTCTGGATTGGCAGCCCAACAACTGATCAGTCTTTGAGCAGCAAGCGCAACACAACTGACTTGCTATGAACAGACTTGTAGGTCACATCTCCACATACTCATCAGTAAGAGACAGCAACGCTGTATCAACGGAGATGCGAGGGAAAATCTCATTTCCTTGTCCCATTTTAGGAGTCTTTCTGACACTTTGCTTGTTGGTCAGTTACTGGCCGGAGAGGCAATTTCCACATGACATCAAGGGAAATAATGTTGTGGTGTTTGCTTTCTAAAAAAAAAATAAAAACAGGAGTTCTAAAGCTCGGGCAAGGTTCAGGCAATGAGTTTGTGAAAGCAGTTAATCTTGTCTCATTTGACAACGCGCACATTTGAGTCCTGATTAAATTTCACCTACAGTGTGGATCCTTAACTTGGACCCCATGTTACTAACAGCGTTACTAACTATTTGAACTCCTGAAATGTTGGTTCAGTCATTGTATTTCCTAACTGCCTTTTTAAATAACTAGTGATTTACAAAGAAGAGATTGAGCCGTGATGACTGTTCGTTTACGTTCCTCCTTCTGTTTGGATAAAATCTTGTGGTTAAAACCTAAGCTTGTGATGAAGACATACAGGAAGTTGATATTCTTCCTGAAACTTTTATGCCTCTATAACAAAGGATCCCATTACATTTTGTATAGAAAATGGTTTTGCTTTCAGTCTCAGAGCAAGTTGTTGCAGGTATCTGTGCCACTCTTTATAATCACAGTAAAAAACTATGGTCTTTGACACAGACTGAAATGCACCTAGGACTCACACTTTGAAGGAACTCACTTTGGAGCTCATTTTGTTACAGCTCATGCAACATTTTGATTTCTTAAGAAGGTGTTCTCTGACAAGGCCAGTGAAGTTGTCAGTTCTGGCACCACTGTGGGAAGCCATCCTGCAGGCAGTGTGTTTTGTCAGAGAATGCCTCCACACAAGTGACATGCACCTTTGGAGCTGCACATTGTGCAAGACTCATTAGGCAAGTACTCAAAAAAAAAAAGTTTACTTTTTCTCTTAAGCATCCTGTGATTTTTGTGAACAAGAGGAAGACTTATATTGGGAAGTGAATGCTTTTCATGGCTGTCAGCGCAGATGCATCTACTATGCTATGTAGCTGCTGCCAAGGTAAAGCTTTTGAGGTTGATGGTGCAAGATGCATATGTGCACTCTTGTGAATGGTTCCTGTCGGTAACAGAGCTCCACTCCCAACAGGTTTTTCTGAAAACTGTACTTGTATTTATGTACTTGATTCTTAAACTCGAAATGATTCCTTTTAAGACCTTTGACATAAAGTTCTGAAAAGCAGTAAGCTAATGAAATTAGAAGGTTCAGAATGAATGCTTTATTTTTCGTTCACTAAAGCCAACCACAAGAGAATAAAAGTGCATTAAGTGAATATTTCAGTTGAGTTGTTAAGCTTTAGGAATGTTACAAAAAGCTTCAGGAATGTTACAAAAAGCTTTAGGAATATTACGAAGTGCCTTTTGGATCCCAGTTAAACCATCAGCATCAGCACCTCGTGTGGTCCCCGTACCCCTACTGCATATTCTGTAGTCTATACATCTGGGAAGTACATACACCTGCCTACTGACTGATAAGCAAACTAGTAGAATGCTTTTACCATAGAACACTTCTTTGAGTAAAGTTAGAGGTGATTTTAGCGGCTTTTAATTTATGCAAGCATTTCTTTTTATTTAAATTTGCTAAGTAAAGATGGTCTTCTAGATGGCACAGTTAATACGCTGCATCTTACTTTTTAGGTTTTTTAATACTGGTCTCAGAATTCTGTCTTTATTCCATTTTCCAACATCAAGTCATGTGCTCCCTGCCTTCTAGGCTTCTATTTCCAGATCAGTCCCTATGCCACTGTCAAACATTTCAGTGCCAAAATCAACTGTTTCACGTGTGCCGTGTAATGTAGAAGGAATAAGCCCTGAACTGGAAAAAGTATTCATAAAGGAAAACAGTGGAAAAGAAGAAATATCGAAGGTAAGCTTATATTAACTTGTTTATGGTTGTTTTTTCTGTGTGATCTATAAACACACGGGAAACCTTCCTCGTGAGAAACCTTCCTCGTGGCTGAAATTACAAATAGTTTTCTTCAAAGAACTGTTTGTTTGAAAATTTGCTTTCAGTGTTTTAGGGTGGTGTTTGGTTTTTTTAGGGTTTTTTTTTAAGGGCTCCTGGCCAAACTTTGTTTAGAATGCCCTTTCTGGAGAGAACTTTAAAGTTTTCGTGCGAAATGCAAGTGCTTGAAAATTTAGATACTTCAGGCTACAGTAGTAAGCAATGAAGAGATGAGGAGATTAATTTATTTGCTCCATTTTGCATTCTTTTTGTTAGGCAAGACTTAATTTTCCTGTGCTATGCTCTGGTTTTTGATTTTAATGCTTTTCTTCCATAAGCTGAATGTGAACCATTTTACATCTGTGAAATGGCTATGATCTGTCATGGGAGATCTTCGTATGGGAAGTACTGACAAACGGGGCACCTTTGCCTATGTGGGAGGACAGGAGCATTGGAATTGTCATTGAGGAGCACTGGAGTGCTTAGATGACTCTTAAAATGTGAAATACTTGGTTTACAGCCACTGTTTCATGAAAAGTTTCTGCTGTGCGATGAACTACTCTATACTGTTTTTTCTAATCTTCTCTAAGATGCAAGTTCTTTTCTTGTGAATGTTCATGTAGTAGCAATTCAATGTACAAGTCAAGCTATAAAACTGTAATCAGACATTTAAGATTCCAGAACCTGGTATTTGTAGTTCTTCATATTGGCAGTAAAATTAAAAAGCTTTGGAATGGTCTTGGCTTCTCCAGAGAATTAGTTGTGTGGACAAAGCAGTCTAAAGAATGAAATGCTGTAGTAGTAGATGTTTTATGCGAAGTTTGCTTTCTTAAGGCTGTCTGGTCCCTGTAGAAGGGGTGGATGTTGTGACAGGGGAATAAAGAAAAAACAAATACAGAAACAGAAATCCCAAATCAATAAAGCTTGTTGCACCATCTCCAAAGGAGTATAAAAAGGTATGTATTACAGTGCTACCATTGATGTTGATATGGCTAGGGTTGTAATCCCCTTTGATTAGAGGAAATTTCATTTATTTATCAGACAAATGATCTTCATAAATGTTGTCCTTGGGTTTTAACAACTTATTGCTTGAGATGCAGCACTCAGTCTCTCGTAAGTTACTGAATGTACTGGCTCTGATCCAGCAAAACAGTGAAGCACATACTTAAGTGCATTGTTGGCCTGGGGCCAGAGGTGCTCAGCAGTTTATGCAACCAAGGCAATAGTGAACCCTTCCTCCAAACATCTAGCTGGGGAGAGTCTTCAGACACAGAAGTAGTCATAAATTTGACATTGCCCTTGAAGTCAAGTTCATGTTTGTGGGCAGAGGGTTGTTTCCTACTATGTAACCGTTAATTTCTGTGAAGTCTGGACTAGTGGGACCTGAAGTGGGACTCCTAGCACTGTCTTTGAGCTTACTAGAACTCATAGCTTACTTATGGAAGATCCTAATAAGAGTAATTTACTCAATCTTACTGCTGTGAACTTTCTCCTAATACAAAAATTTAGCTGCTTTTTAGCCTGGGGGAGTTGGGGCAGCTGGGTTAAAGGTTAGGAATTACTGAACAAAAGACAAACCATAGGAAACCAAACTTCATTATTTTCACTGCTAGTGAAAAAATTTGTTTTTTCTTTCCATTTTCTGCCATTCTTTCTAGCTGTAACATTAGGTATTTTTAGAAAGTGTTTTAAAACAGCAGTCGTAGGGAATTGGTTGCTTTGGGTGATGTGAGAAGAATAAATTATTCTAGACTCACATGTAAGACTGGCGTGCATCTAGATTTTCAGCTGATTTTTCTTAACCTGTTTCCATGTTTACTTCACAGTTTCAACAGTGCATGTTCAAAACTTAATTTTCATGTGAATTGATCTATCCAGCTGCATAAAACACATTGTGCCCTATTGTGAATCTGTATTCATTTTGTAGAATATTAGATTTCAAATTTCATAGAATTTACCAGGAAAGTTTTTGGGAATAACATGTAACCTGCTAAAGGCATTGAGAAGGAATGTTACCTCTATTTTATGTGCAGCTCACTACCTAATTGTTTAATCATTTTGTTTTTTTCAGAATTAGGTACTATGTTAGTAGCTTTCTGATTTCTTCCGTTATATTTCGATAACCATGTTTGGGCTATCCCCAGTAAAATAAAATGCATTTTAGTTCTGTTAACTTTTATAATTTTAGTCTAGTGTTCTTGAATTTTTTCTGTTAGTCTCTCATCTCTTCAGTATAAACTTGTGACTTTTTTTTTAGCAAACTCTTTCTTACTGCATATATTGAAATCAGACTAGGTTATATATAGGACAAAAATGACCTTAAGTTTAAAGCAGTTTTATGGATAGTTTTAGTGATATTACTTGAATTACTTTTTTAATTTGGCTCCCAGTTAAAATGGGTACCCAGTGAAACTCTCCTCCCAGTTTCAAACTTTTTTGCTTGGTCTTCAGATACACAAGTCAATTTATTTCTTAGAATTGTGGGGTTTTTTTTTTGTTTTGTAGGGTTACATGCTTTCTGTGTTCCCTTTTGCTGGCTTAAATTTTTGTAACCCTACTTCTTACAAAATGTATAAAATGATTTGGAATGTGTCTTGTGTCTTAGCTCATGCTGACTTGGTTCTGTAAGTTCTTTGAAACGCCCTTTGTTTTTTTTAAATAATATTTTAATGATAGTAGAAGTTGTACTTCTAGAAGGACAATTACTTACAAAAGTAAAAATAATTATTGCAGACATTAGTCTTGTTATTTTTGTTTCACAAAGATAGTTGATGGTACAGTAATGTCATTATGTCATTACCTTTTAATAATATAATTGACCACACAGTTTAGAGGGGTTGCATTGTAAGTGGTGAAAACATTCCAAGTATTTAATTCTTTTCAGTTTAGCAATGTATGTGTGTATTTTTTCAGATAATTAATCTCGCTTAGCTAACTAAGGGCGTTCTCTTTTTTCTTTCATAAAACCAAGTTAAAGTTGGCTTTTTTGAGTCACATTTTAAATTGCCTCTTTCTGCTCAGGTTTATTAATTAAAGTTTAATTCATTTTCTAATGCATTTATTCAAAGGTCCTGGATATATTTTTATATTTGTACTTCCTGTTTTATAACTTGTTGAGTAGCTTTCCACGAAATTGTGTTGGTGTGTCTTTGTTCCCACCATATCTTGTAAGAGGGAATCGGCTTTTTGTGAGGTTGTGACAGACTTCTGTCACTGTCCCGCTGTGACTCCACAACACAAACATTGGAGACAGTACAAGAAGATGATGGACTTGCTGTAGGGAGTGGGCAGTAAGAGATTCCATCCTCGAGATTACATTGCAAAAATAATAAGTGCCCTGTAGCAGGGCACAGACACGTTCATAGGTCTCTTAGTAGGAGAAAAGTAGTACTGGAACTATCAAGGATACAGAAGTAATTAGAAATGAAGCAATTTTGATGGACTGTCACACAATATAAGTAACATGATTGATGTGTTTCTTGTTTGATATCTAATGCTTCTGGAAATAGATAGCAAGATGGTTTTATGTACCTATCAGAAAAATTAATCCTGTAATAAAAGGACTTTTTCTAATATGTCCAGAAGCAGAGGATCCTTACTTAAATCTTCATAGCCTTCATCTGAAAAATCTGTTTTTTTCCACATGCTTCTTCCCAGGATAAATTATGTTTTTTTCAACTTGCACCTTATCTAATGCATGGATGACTTCAGTGATGCCAGAAGGAATAAGCGCTTTTCTACTTCTGCCTTTGTGTTCCAGTCTAGGAAATGGTTTTTAAATCAAAAGCATTGAACACTTTGCTCTCAAGAAGTTGCCTCCCAAACAGATGTAAGGCTTGTGAGAACAGATTAATTTAAGGCTCCCATTGGTATATTAAATCATATAGCATTCTTGTTTTTTTTCCAGTGAAAAGATCAATACTGAAAACTATGTGGTGAATTTTAACAGTGTATTGAAAAATTCATACTGTTGTCAAATTGAGCATTTCCATACCTTTGCAGGAAGATGAGAGTAGTATGTCAGTATGTCCAAGAACACACTGTTCCATAGGGGTTGGCAGGTGTCCTGTTGGAGTGCATTTGGCATAATGTTAGTACATGACTGGACACTCTTAAGAAAGAAAAGAAAAAAAACCAACAAAAAAGCACCACCCACTGAAAAAAAACCAACAGTATATAGAATGCAGTAATTTCTAGTTGTTTTCTATGCATGGAGTTATGAAAACTAATACCAGCTGTACCAAATTAGTTACCCTATTTCTTATGTTCAAAGGTTGTGAGGACTTCAGTTTCTAGAATAGTTTAGGCATGACTCAGGGAAAGTAACTTCTAAAGTATTTTTTAATGTTGTTCAAGTTTAATATGCTTAATACATAAAGTTTTTATAAAACAGAATACTTTTATATTTTCAAGAAGTTTTTTGCACTTGTCAAAACTTGGATTCAATATTAAGGGAAAGATAAATATAGAAGCAAAGTAATGTGAAATATTTACTGGCATTTTCTATGCCTTGAAAGTTGTTTTACCTGGAAAGTGATAAATATTTAGCTTTTTCTACTTGTGTGTATATTTAGAGGCATGTCTAAAAATATAGATAACTTTTTGTACCTCAATTTTTAATTCAGTGGAGGTTGAAATACATGATTTGGGATATACTTCCTGACTAAATAAGACTACGTTGTTCTTTCCAGGGGTGGAGGAACATGTGTGCTATCCTGAAGTCTTTAATTACGTGATCACTTACTGTGTTTTTCCCGTCCCTGGAATCCTTGCTTTACCTGTTACGTAGAGCATAGTATATGCACTTAATCAGCAGCTGTTTGGTGTTTTTGTTTTCTCCTCGTTAGCTGCGTGTCCTAATACTCACTATTAAACCTTGCTTTGACGTCAGAAGGCTAGATTTCTTCCTGGATTTTTGCTTCTGTATAATAGGCGAGAAATTTTGTTTTTATCACACCTGTGTGAGAAGAAAGATGTTATTGTCTGCACTTTGTGGATGGAGAAACATGAATTCATCAGGGTTCTGTAATGTGATTCTTCAAATAGCTCAGGAAACTGCATGCCATTTTAAGAGTTTGAAGTGTGCCTGCCATAGTCTCCTTCTGCATCTGTGAATGTTGAAGACTTTGCAAATCAGCCCTACGTAGACTGGGCATCCAGAAAAGATGCCATGAAATAGAGAGGTTTTTTTCGTGGCAGACACGGAAATAAAAATGCTGTTCTGCATGGCAGCTATTTTTTCGGTTACGCTAATTACGAGACTGTTTTCTTTCTGCAGCTTCAGTCTTGTTTTCTACCTCTCTTCTGTCTGCAGAACAAATGATATAATGCTTCAGGTCTGTCTTGTGCGCTGAATGAGTCATGGCCTGTTGGGGGTGATGGGAATAGTTTCGTGGCAGACACGGAAATAAAAATGCTGTTCTGCATGGCAGCTATTTTTTCGGTTACGCTAATTACGAGACTGTTTTCTTTCTGCAGCTTCAGTCTTGTTTTCTACCTCTCTTCTGTCTGCAGAACAAATGATATAATGCTTCAGGTCTGTCTTGTGCGCTGAATGAGTCATGGCCTGTTGGGGGTGATGGGAATAGCAACATGTAGTTGTGTTGTAACGCGTACGCAATGTGAGCCGAGCTGTTGGAACAGACCACACAGCTGTGTCCAAACTTTTCAGCATTTGATGTAGCAACTGTAATGTTCTCTTCATAGTCTGTTTCTTTGCAAATAATTGAAATGTGAAATGTGGTATTAACTGGAAGGTACGTAAGAAGAAAAGGATCTTCCTGCTCTCCTGCATCTGTCTCTTTGTATAATATGTGGTGGTTCTCTGAGTAGGCTGTTGCTGAAAAGGGGAGAAAGGGATACTCAGTCAATAGGTTTCATGTCCGCATTGCTAGGAAAAGCAGTGGGTTGAACTTTAGGTGCTGGAACAAGCTGTTACAGTTTTGCAATATATCTGGAAGAGGAAAGCAATAAAATAAAAATGTTCACTTGAAGTGAGAAGGAAAAAGACTTTAATTTTTTGTAGCTAGGACATTTAAGCTGTTCTCTATGGCTTGAGTACAGTCCTCACTAAAGTGAGGATAAAAATGATATTTAAGTCTTGCAGGCATTTTTTTCCCCATTCACTTTTAAGAAAAACTGCAATTCTCATTTGATTTCTTACAATTAAAGCAGTGCTGTCTTTATGATAAAACTAATTTTCCACTGGGAAGTCCAAGTAAGTAGAGCGTGCCAATCTACTGCTGTGAACATGTCTGCGCAGTATATTGCAGAATGGGGTGCAAGATCACTCTGGACAGTGCCAATTGGACTGATGTGAGTAAGGCAGTGCTTACTAGCGTTGGTTCAAGACAAAGCTTCTGAACCTGTGCATCATCTACTTGGTTGCCATTTTGTCAGAGGTCACTTATAGAAGTGAAGCATGGAATGTAGAGGTGAGCTAGAGAATCACAACTTACTGGCAAAACTTGGATGCTTTACTTTATAGTTGTAATTCAGTTGGTTGTTACAGCAATAGCGTGCCATTGTGTTTGACATTTTCTACTTTTATCCGAATGTGATCTTTGTAAGGGTACTTGTTTTTCTTTCATAATAACAGTGACCTTTATTGGAAATTGTTTTACTAAGTATAATTAGAGATAGATTTGTTGGGGTAGTTGGCTTTTTTAAACTATGACAAAAAATCTAAAAACATAATACTAGCCTGTGTTGAAGTGCCTTCTGGTGTTAACTTTGCACGAAGAGGATTCCAGGTTGGCTTGGAACACCTGCACGTTGTCCCAGCATTCAGTGATATTAATGTAGCTGTGTCCATTGTACATACTATTGTTTTTTCATGTAAAAGTTGTTCATGGAAAAATAGCTTGTTTGCTGTTCTTCAGGCCTTGCCTCACTGCTTCAGTTATGAGTGCTACAGGCTGACATTGCTTATGAGTTTGATCTTTTCTCTGTAACCTGAATTGCTTGTTTCTCTTGCAGCCTTTGGATATCCCTGACGGTCGAAGGGCCCCGTTACCTGCTCACTATCGTAGTAGTAGTACACGAAGCATTGACACTCAGACTCCATCTGTCCAGGAGCGCAGCAGCAGCTGCAGCAGTCATTCACCATGTGTCTCTCCCTTTTGCCCTCCTGAATCTCAGGATGGGAGTCCTTGCTCAACAGAAGATTTACTCTATGACCGTGACAAAGGTGAGAGTAGAATGGCCCGCCTTTACCTATGGGAGGCATGTGATGTCCTGCTTTTGCAACTACCTTCATTTTACTCATTACATCAATTTTCATTTTTGTTTGATGGTTGTGGAGGGATTGAGGATTTATCTTAAAATTGGTTTTGTTTGTTTACATATCTTTTTCCCTCTTGTTTGTGAAACTTCACAAACATCTTCCATAAATACGTCAGAGGAGCACAGCAAAGTCTTAACTATTTATGAAGATTCTAATGTGAAGAATTCAGACTGTGACATGTTTATGTTTAAAAAAGTTTTCAAGAAGGTTTGTTGTAGACTGTATATTCATCATGGGTGAGTTACTTGCTGATCAAAATGGATATGATGAAGTTTTTGGACTGCTTTTAAAAGTACTCAGCTTCTAAACTCTTCAATTCCACTTGAAGCTATTTGGTGAGGAGCTCAGAGATGAGTTTGACCAGTCTGATGGAGCGTGATTACTTGTCTGTGTATGTTGCATAACAACCCCAAATTTCTGAATAATTTATGTGTTTATATGTCAATGTCCTGCATTTTTTTCAAAGTCTGTAAAATGTCATTTGGTTTTGTAGAGGGAGTAAACTGGATTTTCAGTAATTAAGTTACTGACAGAACATGTAGTATGAAAATATAGGCACCAGTGTAAGACTTTGTGGTTTGTTGTTTTTTTTTTTTGGACAACTGTTTACTACTGAAATTATTCTTGGGCTTCTGGTCAGCTAGCTGGAAACATGGACTTAAGTTCGGAGGGGTGCAGGGTTTGGGTAAAACATGGAAGCTAACAGTAGTAAGTTTCACAGAGGAAACAAAAACTTTTAAGATAATGGTGTAGATTTACTAATGAGGTAAGGACAGTATGTTGAGGTTATAATTCAGGTTAGGCTTTTTTCTGCAAGTGTTCTCTGTTCTATAATTCTTAAAGTAATTTGGGAACAAGATCGGAGAAGGCAGTGGCAGAAATACTAGGTTTTCTTGGTTTCTGAAAAGTATTGCTTTTCCCATCTTGGATTTAAAACGAAGTAGTGAAAACAAATCCACCTGCCCAAACCCTGCACTGGGGGTAGGTGTGCGCGTGTGTGAGTTAACCACATCAACGTAAAACTCTTAGCTCAACCGTGGTAGTTGGCCATGCTCCAAAAATATCAGATATTAGCTCTCCCCCCTCCTCCCCCCTTCTTTCTTACAGTAAGCATGGGAATTGTAATGTGTTGTCATGACTGGATCACTATAGAGACATCCACTAAAGCATTAGCACACAAGGAAATGTCTTGACAGGTAAATTTGTTCATATATGTCCTGATAGCAAATAGAAGTTAAAAAGGGAGGAAATAAAAAAAAAAAAAAAAGGAAAAAAAAAAAACAGAAAAAAAAAAAAAAAAAGGGAAAAAGAAAAACAGGAAAAAAAAACCCTCCCAAAAAACCCCACAACAATTCCTTTTGCAGTTGGTACTCAGTTATCACAGTCATTGGAATTTTCAGTGGTTCTTCATTGGCACTAGCGAGTGAAGACAGTTTGAAATAGTCTAACCTTCTTAATGCTTTGCAAGGGTTTTCATCTCCTGTCTTGGAGTTTTTGAATATTTTATTGGAGTAAAATTTATTGCTGAACTTCACAATGAGGAGATACTTATTTGCTGATTTTGGTTTTAAGACTGTCTTTAATGCTAGGTTTGTATCAAAAGTCTGCTTTAGTAGTAGCATATAGGTGACGGTGATAAACAGCCAGATTTGTAAAGTTAAAACTACATTTTTAAATTAGTTTGAGTAAGGTACTTAATATTGTGCTTACGAAAGATAAAAGCTTGAACTGCTCATCACAACTTTGTTCTTTAAGGACAAGATAAAAACTAGAAAAATGCATAGTGGTTTTCCAAGAGAAAGTAATTTGTTCAGAGGTTGTAGAAGTATAGTCAGAAAGGTGCCTTTTACTCTCAGGTCATTAAGATCCCACAGGCCAGTTGTTATGAATGAGAATGTTAACTTCAAAATAGTTAAATTATAGATAAATGAGGGATTAGGTAGATATTATAAGGAAATAGCAAGTTTTGAGAGACAGATTATTAATATCTGTTTTGAATGTTAACTGCTGTATAAAACAAAAATCATGGAGTTTTTCGCACCTTTATTTTAAGGGTTTTTGTGATGCTAGAATAGAACTATCATGAGTTTGCTGTGAGGCCTGGCAAGTTTTGAAAAATGCATTGTATAACCAAACATAGAGATTTTTAAACCCCAGATATTTTTCTATTTCTTTTCTCAAGTTGAGGTTTTGTTTTCCTCTCTATGGGAATAACTTGGGTTTACCATTAAAAAATATAATTATCAGCTTTGTGTATGCTCCTGAGTGTGTTGCTGAATAGGAAAGGAAGGTTAGTAGTTTGTCTTGAGAGACATGAGCAGTGAGAGAAGCCAGTGCTCTGTACAGACACAGCACTGCTTTACATTACTAAAGCATCTTTTATTTCTTGTGCAAAGCTGTGCTTTGGCCTGAGGCACTCACAGCTGCTTTTGGACTGTATCAGCTGTTTGGTTTACATTTCTGCAAGAAGCTGCTAAATCTATTTAATTTTTCAACAGAAGGTGAAAGCTTAATTTCAGAAAGACCCACAATACATACTCCAAATGGAGCACTGGTACGAAATGGTGTGGATTGGAGCAGAGAGGGAAAGGTGGGATATGGCACTGTAATGGCACCTGGCTTTATGATTTTGTTTTTAAATACCAACCTATTGCAAGGTAGGTGACTGCCTTGGTGCTTTAAAACTCCCAGTTTCATGAGATCTCTTTTACGATACTCTGGTCCATGAGACTATTAATTCAGAGTGCTACATAGCATATTTAGTAGCTGTGACAGAGGTGAAGTTCAAAGGCATCCTAAGGTGTAACCAGATGAAATTTGGGCATTTCTTGTACAAAAATAGTGTAACCTGTTTTTCAGGGATTTTGATTTCGGTGCTTTTGTGTAGCATTGTGTGTTCCCACTGTTGCTACCAGGCTGTTACAAGCAACGTGTTCATGAAGATGAGATGAAGATACTTTTTAACTTTTGGGCATCTGATTCACAGTTTTTAAAATGAAAATTGTGTGTGAAGTCTTTGGATAGTCTTAGGAAACAAAGGTATTTTTGAACCTATCAGAACAAATCCCAAGGCTCGCTGGCAAAGTTTCCTGTTTCCTCTAAGTTTTTTCATTCACAAAATTGTTTTACAGATTCTTTTTTAGTTTGCCTCCTTTGTTGCTCTGATATATGCAAGCTAAAATCTGTGGTATTACATCTTGTGGTTAAAATTGTAATTAAACACTAAAAATGCTATCTTAGGCATTTTCTAGATAACAGAATATATCCATTTTGAATTTTTATGTTTGAAAATTCTGTGTAATAAGGCTCCATATTGTCTGCTGTGTGGTTATGGTAACAAAACTCACTTTAAAGGTTACATCTGTGAATCTTCAATCATTGTCACCTCAGTGAGGTTTGATTAGTTGGCTGACATACGCCAGCAGAGCACGCCCTGCTGGTGGAAGCCTGGGAGATGCAGGCGTGTCCGCTGACATAAAGGCTTGCACAGTGCTGGCAGCATCTCAGACAGGAAAAAAAAAAAAAAGTGTAAATAACACAGTTTGAGAATACACATTTGCAAGGTAATTAAGGATTAATAATGTGACAGTTTAGCATTTAAGAGCTTACAGAATATACAAGTGGAGGCTGGCTTAAGCGGTAAATTCCACCTCTTACCACTTTAATTCGTGGCCTGTGTTCCCACTACTCTTCTGTTCTCACACTGCTGCTGTACGTGTAGGGCCAACACCGAGCTTGTACGTGTGAGCCGCCTAATAACCACACATATTTTTCAAATAGTAGTGCGGCATGTGTTTGGTCAAAACGAAAAGCTAACAACTTAGTAAGATTTAAAAGCAGGGAGGGTATAGAGAGAAACAGAATTGTTATACAATGGTTGAATTATACAGTACAATATTTTTTTTTTTACTTGTTGAACAGCTGTCTTATATAGAAATTTTCAGCCAGATAGGGCTAAATAAACTCAAAACTTGATTGAAAACTGAACTGGCTAGACGAGACTCTTAAATCTTCCAAGAACTGACTTAATTTTGAATTCAGTTTGGTTCTTTCCTTGGATGTACTTCCACAGTTTTCCACAATTTGGTGGAATGAACAGTAGCACATTTTATGTCTCAGAGTTTTTAAATAGAAACTTGGATCTTCAATTTTAAATATTAGAAGGAGGAAACAAACTGTCTGGGTTCTGTTAATGATTTCTGTGTTTGGAATGAACTGTGTGGGCCAACAGTGGAAGGATGCCAACAGGACCATCATGCTCCCAGCTTGGCAAATATCTGTATTGTCTCTAAGCTTTTTCTGCCTTCATACAGTTAACACCTAAAAGTCTGTAAATAGAAGTTCTGTGTGAACTCTGCAGCAGGAAAGAGCTGAATAATCAATACTCTGCTGAGGTTCACTTCAACTTTTTTTTTTTTCTCATATCTTTCATAGTAAATCTCCAAAGGAAAGCGTGACATTTGAGTTGATTTCTGTCTTGTAAGAGGAAGCAGAGATGTTTCAAACCTCTAATGCTTAGCCTTTGTGTTTGAGTCATGGTTATACAAATGTTTATGTAGTTACTGTTTGCAGGCTGTTAAAGACAACCTTATATGCTTCAGTTAATCTAGATCATAGTGCTTGAAGCTTTGGTTGGTTTTCCACTGTTGCTGAAAAGGCACACATGAGCAGCAACAGAATAAACAAAGGTATCTGAGTGAAAAATGGTAAGGTACCCCACATCGGTGGGAAGACTCAAAAGGAGCTAAAGCAAGAGCAGTTATTTCTCTCCAAATAAGGTGTGTAAGTTGGGGGTTCTTCCTTAACCTTGCCATTTAATTTCATTTTTTTAATTGTAAGCCCAAGCAGAGAATAGGGAGAGGCTAATACTAGCCTGAGATAGGTGTTGCTCTTTGGAGAGGTAGAAGCCACTGCAGAAAGCTAATTTTCTGTGAGTAATTATTTTTGTATCTACTTTATTTCCTTAATGCATTGAATATCACGTTGTCAAGAGAAGTGTTTAAAGTGAACCCTTTTGTAGGCTTAATTTTTCCAACTGTTGTGCTTCTGTCGTTACCAAAGTGGAGTTTCACCTCTTCCATTTTCCAAGAAGTACAAAGAAATCTGCCCATTGCCTTGTATCCTAATCTTAGTACCTTTAGCTCTAAATGTATCTAGTAGTCACCTGCAAAATATACACAGGCAGCTAGAGTTAGGAGGGATACTTCTCTGATACAGTTAGTGTTGAGAGAATCGAGTTGTGGAAGCTTTATTTTGGATACTAAAGCAACTTGACAATTGTGAAGCAAATAAGGTAGGGCATTGTAATGATGAGGTATCAGTACCTGTATTACAAATGTGCTGTTTCTTTACAACTTCTGAACTGTTCATGAGACTAATGATGTCAATATTCCAGTGAAGACTGTTTTAAAGTACAATACGTGCTTTATGCACACATTTTCAATAACTGTGTTTATACAGTAAGAAGGTGTTATCATTACCACTCATAATTCTTCTGCACGTATTATGCATATTACCTTGTTCATTTATGTTTTTTAAAATACATGATAAAGAATGTATTTGTTTCCAGGATCACAGCTCCGCTTTGTTCTGATTGCAGTGTTCTGGATAAAAATATCCTTCTGTTGTGTGTTGTTATATGATAGATTACTGCCGCACTGAAGCTTTTATTCAGAAGAAATGTGCTGTACAAGGATGTTAGAAATAGCCTGCAATAAAGGAATTACTGTGGTAGAAGCAAACCGGCATGGTGGCTAAAATGTGAAAAAAGGCATCTTGTTTGGAAATCGAATTTAATTAAAAAGCACTCTCAATCTCTAGTAATATAACTGCTTTAAATTTTCAGACAGTGGGAGTAGCTCACCGTTGCCCAAGTATGCCTCATCTCCCAAACCAAACAACAGCTACATGTTCAAACGAGAGCCCCCAGAGGGATGTGAGCGAGTGAAGGTCTTTGAGGAAATGTCGTAAGTAATGCCTTTTATATCAGCTGGTATCTGCAAAGCAGTAAACCTGTTTACTGAGCCTATTCAACTGCAGATGAATAAACTATTCCAGCTGATGAATTTTTCAGGAGCAAACTATTCTTAGAGTTTGTACAGAAGAGAAGTTGAAGTGTTCATGTTGGTTTGAAGAGGAAATGAAGTATTTTTGCTTGAACTCTTTTTGTGCATTTATAAAAGGCAACAAAAACCCAAGCAGAAAAGATAAGGTACATTTGATTTCCTAAGCATTTATAAACCTCTTTTCATATATTTTTATTAACTTTATATGTTTGTGGCTTAAAACAAAAACTCTCCTTGTCATAATTCTTCACCAGTTTCAAGCACAGGTTATCTTTTGATATGTATAAAACATATAAAATGGAATGAAACCTATGTAAAGTGTTTGTAGACAGTACTGTACTTACGGCATAGACTTTGCTCAATATTTTTGCTGAGCAAGAAATTAGAAATTAAACTCTTGGACATCATGTCTTTTTCCCCTAGACCCAGCAATATTTGAGCACATGCTGTCGAGGTTGCATGCTTAGCTCCTGTGGATGAAGGAACTAAGGAGGGGATGTTTGTTGCTCTGACAGCATTCATTGCCTGCTGGATGGTGAAGGAGCAATGCTGGGTTGTGGAGGAAGCCTCCAGACAAAATACGGAGTGTGGGAAAGGAGAGGTCTATTTCATGGAGTTTCTCAAAGGGATTTAATAAGACCAAATGGGTTGCTGCTGCATTGGTTGCATTGAAGAAGAATCTGTGCCATTCTAAATTACTGTGGCATTTTTTCATGTGCATATGTACTGCAGATTTTTCTTGCTGGAAGTTGCATGTTTATCCAGGAATTATCAAGTCATTTTTGTGACAGTACTATTTTCAATGCTGTGGATCAGTTAGCTGACTACCAATATGGAAGATGTTTGCCCCTCTGTCCAATTAATCCCATGCCTTGTCATTCACATTTTAGCAACGTATAGAACCACAAAGTTCATGACGTATAAAACATCTTGGCTGGCCAGGTATATAATCTTCTTTCTTGTTGTAGGTCTCGTCAGCCTGTCTCAGCCCCTCTCTTTTCATGTCCTGACAAAAACAAGGTTAATTTCATCCCAACCGGATCAGCTTTCTGTCCTGTAAAACTTCTGGGCCCCCTCCTTCCCGCTTCAGACCTGACACTGAAGAACTCTCCAAACTCTGGTCAAAGCACAGCTTTGAGCACCCTGACTGTTGAGCAGCTTTCGGCTCGAGTCTCTTTTTCATCTCTGTCGGATGACACCAGCACAATGGACTCTACAGAGGTCCCGGTACAGCAACCGTCCCAGCAGCAGCAGCCGCTTTTGCAAGAAATTCAGACTGAAGACCATTCCTCACCTCAGAGCTATGTGTTCATCTAGACCAAGGTGGAGCAGGCCTCTGCCCTGAAACAAGGACCGAGGAGTAATAGTTCAGATACATCTGCATGAGGTGGCAACCTTTCAGAAGAACACGGAATACTTAGCAGCATTCAAAAAATATCTCAGTGCTGTTCTTGGCAGGGACAGAATTCATATTCAGCAGTTTTTGTGAGAAAGCAGTAATGCCTGCAGAATCCATATATCATTAAGCGTTTTAAGTGGAGACTATGCATTTCATAGTATGTTTGACCAGATTAGTACTGTGTCCTGTGTTCTGTTTCAAATTCTACAGTATAAATAAGCTCTCTATATTATGAAAAAAAAAAAGTTGCCTGTCTGAATAGAAAATGTCTTGCTGTGTTGTGTCCTTTGGAAAATACTGTACTTCAGGATTATGTTTACAATTGATCCAGGTGTTTATGTTTCTAACTTCTGTAATACACACAATGCAAAAAAAAAAAAAAAAAAAAGCCACAACAGTTGCACAGTGCCCACCCTATGGCCTAGCTTCAGGTACTTCTCTCGAAGTGTAAACTCAGGTAACTTGGAATGTATATCATATTGGGATATAAAATATTTTACAGCTACAGAGCTAAAGAGGGAACATCACTCTTTTGCCTTTCCTTATTTTATGCATTAATATTTCCTCATTACATTCCACTTTCTTGGAATAAGTGCATTCAGATCCAGGTGAATCGTGACCCTGGAAATGGGTGAACATGAGGAGAACCAGCAAATCTGTGATGTAGATCACTTTGTCATGTGCTTACAAGTAAAACAACTGTTGCATTTACTGTCATTTCAATATATATGTAAAATGTGGCATTTAAAGGTTTCAGGTGTTGCTCAGTTAATGACTGTTAAACTGTTGCAAATAAAGTGTTCAGTACTAGGCTGTACATGAGAAACATTCCATGTTGTGTGTGAGAGGATTTTGAAAGACAAGAGTGTTTTTGTTCAAGGACAGAAATTCTTTCAGGTTTCACAGGGGGTGATGGGGATTTCCTCTCATGTTTTTGTTGGCAGTTAAGGATGTGAAATGCTACTGTTACCGTCTAAAAGTCAAATTAATGTTTAGTTTCTCTTTTGGAAATATTCATTCATTTGCTGGTTGGAAATAGGTTTGCCGATTTTGTAAAGCAGTGTTAGATGAGCAGCATTTTATTTATGTAGTGAGTAATTATGTTTGGATTAAAGTCCACAAGTAGTAAGTGGATGTTCGAAGATGGGTGGGGAAAAGAATAGTTTTAAGTTCATGTTACTTAATCAAAGCTTCTCCCGTAACTTTCAGTTACGTAAGTTGTGTGTGTAAAAGTGTTTTCACCCCTCCTGAAGTGTGAATAAAAAAAAAAAAATTCCTTGTAAAATAATCCTGGTTTTGCGGGCTGGACACTTTCTCAAAATAGTACACGGCAAGAACGGGTTAGTGGTGCTCTGCTATTGTACTGGAACAAGAGGAGCATTGCTTTCAGAGATAATTTCCTGTGATACAAAGAGGACCCCAAAGGCAAAATAAACTTGATGTTCTTGCTCCATTGCTTTCAACGCAGTGGAACTGCATTTATGCTGTCTGTTCCTAAGAGAATAAGGTTCACCTTTTCCAGGAATTGAAGAGATTAGTAGCCTGCAGCTACTGAACATTTAAACTTGCTCTGTTTTTTTTTTTCTTCCCTCTTTTGAAGGTGAGATTTGGGGGGGGGGGGAGGGGGGGAGAGAAAGCCACTGAAAACTACTCACTAAATATGTGCTTAGTTTGGAGATAAAGCATCATTTCGTTTTTATTACTGAGGTTTTGTTAATACTCTCTTACAAGGTGGAATTTGCAAGCTATGAAACAGTCACTGTGTTTTGACTCCACTTGCAGAAAATATAGGGGAGAGATCGGTCTCTGACCATTTTCATGTGAAAAACCTTCTTGATACACAGCAGCCATCTTTAACCCTACTAATCTCAGGCCTAGGTGAAAACACTATATATTTTATTTGAAGACAAAGGGGAGAAAATACTCGTGATGTAAGTATTGATTCCTTTTAGTATTTTTCTTTCTAGATTAACATTGCAGTATGATGACCTTTTTATGCTCTGGTTATGTCCAGATAAGAAATGGTAGTCTCAGTTACTGGTGTTAAGTTACCAGGGGATATGATGAGTGGTTTTTAGATCAGTGATGAACTCTTTACAATATTTGCAATGCCATTACATGTTGTTTTTATTTTTTTTCCACGAGAAACTAAATATTAATTAAATTGCACATTTGTTCTTAGCAGATCTGAGGGTTTTGAACCGTATGTGTGAAAGCTAATGCTTTGCCATGTAAATTTCCCAGCAGTTGTTTTATCTCAGTTGTATTCTACATCCAGATGTAGAAATTTGTCAAATATTGTTTAAAGTTTTGTACATAGTTGTACTGTTATTTCTAGCCACTGTGCTGAACAGTATTCAAGTTATCACACAATATTGCTTTACATAAGGAAATGTGTGGTTTTTGTTTTGTATTTTTTTGGTATAGAAGTTCCTGTGTCTTATTTAAATAAAAATTATAGTTAAAAAAAAAAAGTGGGGGGGGGGACACGCAAAAGCAGTGGTTCATTTATTTGTTTTGGAAACTGTTTATGAAACACCATAGAATGAGATTAAAGTTTAATATTGTTCCAAATTTACATCTAGAATAATGTCAACCATGTATCTTTGACTAGTATGCTGTGTCTTCTAGAACAGGATCATCTCTCATCTATTGATTTTTGCATAATGCTGTTCTAGGAACGGGGGGGGGGAATTCTAAAATAGTTGAATTCTTAAATATGCTTAAAAATAGCATATTTTATTTCTGCATATAAACAAGGTTTTTCTTTCTGTAGAGCACAGAAGAAAAATCAGTTAAGCGTTATTGGAAACTGTGTATCTGCTGTGTTCTAGGAACGGGGGGGGGGGAATTCTAAATTATTTGAATTCTTAAATATGCTTAAAAATAGCATATTTTATTTCTGCATATAAACAAGGTTTTTCTTTCTGTAGAGCACAGAAGAAAAATCAGTTAAGCGTTATTGGAAACTGTGTATCTGCTGCTGTGTTTGTGGTATGGCTGATTTCAAGTTATCTGTTGAAAATTATGAAAGCCATTAGATGTTTCGCTATGTGAAACTAAACTAAACCCGTAAAGGATGTGGTATAAATCTACTGACAGTCTTGGTTTCGTGTTGCTTTGTATGAGTCAAGTGATTGTCATTTGACTTGCGGAATAATTCTTTCCAGGTTGTGAGGGGGAGGGAGGAAGAAAGAATAATAATATTTAAATACATGTAAATCCTCCAAAGTCAGTGTTTACTGAAGAGCACTATGGCAATAACCATCAAGAATAGTTTAGTGCGTTATCAGTAAGTGGAAAAGCAATTTTTCAGCATCTGAAAGACTACAGGGTTTTGATGTGACCATGTTAAAAACATGCACTGCAAGCTAACTGAAAGTGCTGAAAGTCTGGAGCCTCGAAGCGTTGTTGGATCCCACTCTGCTGTGAAAATGCTTGATGTCCTTCATCAGAAAGGGCTGGGTTTCAGCCATTTCTTCATCAGCTTGTGGGGCTTGCTGGGAGAAGCTTTCTGACCGCCTTGTCCTCTAAATGGGTTTGGCTGCAGCAGTTTCGCGCTGTCCGTGTGTGGGAGGATGTTCTCTTCTCCAAAATTGCTTTGACAAAGGCGTGGAGCTCGCTCTGATGCAACTTGTACTACTGGTAACTTTGTGGCCCTCCCCGTGGACCTAGGCCTTGTCTGGTTAGTTAGGGTTGCGGTAACGTGCTGCTTCCACATAAGCCACACTTCGAAGATGTCTGCTTGGTGTAATTCGCTGACTATGTCTTCCTCAGAGCCAAGACAAGCGGTCCAAAAAGTGCTGAGAGTAGAGAGCTCATGAAATAATTTTGCCTTGTGTGCCTGCTTTGTGACTAAAAGATCTTCCTTGACTTGCGCGTTATATTTTCTAACAATTCATGGCCCTGGAAGTGGACTCTTCAGAGACTGGAGGGCTGTGAAAGGGGAGGACTTGGCTACGTATGCTGTGAGTAGGGGGCAACAGATAGTGACCTGCTTCTTTTAGGCAGCAGGGTGCTGTCAGGGAAATGATTTATGGCTTCCTAACAAATCAGCTCTTGGGAAGGGCCAGATACTGGCCCAAGGGTAGAGTCTCAGTATCTTCACTGTATTTAAACATAAGCCTGGAGTAATACAAAATAAACATGAGAAATTGAATGGATTAGGGATGTTGGCTGACATCGCAGTTGCGAGTGAAGAGCACTGAGGCTTAGCAAACTAGCTCCTGGCCTTGCTCCATGGTAGTCGATTGATACCTTCAACTGTTACTTGAGGTAATATCCAAGCAGCTTGAAGGTGACGGATGACTAGTAGAAATTAATTACTGTTGTAAAACAGCCTGGCTTGCTTTGCAAAATATAGACGTGCAAACACAAATTTGAATCTACACAAATACGAGGAAATAACCACAGTTCCTGCAGTGTTTTTCCAGCACCTAAATGCAAGGAAAAAGTGAGTGAAAGCTGGGAAAGTACATCCGTTCCTGGGATGTGCACGTACAGGCGTTCATCGTTGGTGCTTGGCTGAAGGAAGTTGTTTGATCAAAGATTTTCACGTAATTAAAATATGTGTATCTTTATTCTGTTTGCATTAGGGGTAGTCCTGGAGAACTGTCTAGTTCAGGAGAGACTGTAAAAGACTGGAGAAGGCTCAGGGAAGAGCTATAGGAATGAGTGAGGTACTGGAAAAAACACAGCAAGGTTTTGTGGAAGCTCGACATGTTTAACTTCACAGTTGAGGAGTGACTTAATTCCAGTTAGTAAATACCTACATAGGAAATGCTTAGTAATGAGCTGCTTAAATTTAACAGACATGGAATACTAAACGCAGAACAGTACAAAAATTAGGCTAGATAAATTCACACTAGAAATGCAGACTTATTTTAGCACTAAGAATAATTGGGTGGTGGGCCAACTTGCAAAGGTGGTGGGTTTGTTTTTTTTCAAGTATTGGTATGTTTAAAATGAGATTATTTTACAAAAGATATGTTCAGAGAAGATGTTTTTATAAGCCTTACTAGCTCATGATAATTTTGGGCTTTTTACATTTCAGTTGACTTTAAAGAGGTAGCGTTTTCTAAGTACCATAAGTATTCTTGTCTCACTAAAAAAAAATAGCATGGCGCAATATTTTTAACTAGGGAGGTAAAGCTTTTTTTTTTTAAACTGCCTGGAATAGCTCTTTGAAGATAGCTTCTGGGTTCTGAAAATTTTTGGTTTGTCACACATGAATGAAGTCTCCAGTAAAGCAGAGGTGCTTGAGTAGCTTTATAGTTGTTTTGATTTCTGTCGCCGCTTCAGTAACACCGTAATTTTGGAGATATGGCAAGAAACCGGAGAGTAGGTGGTGTATTTTTGTAGTGCAATAGGTCTCAGAAATAATG